TGTCTGTTACCGCATCACAGAAAAACCAGTGGAGAGATATTGATGAAGTTTGATATGGTAATAGTTGGTTATCCAGATCAACATATTGGATACTTTTTACCGCGGGAAAATGTCTCATTTCTGAGAAAAAATACAAAAACTGTAATGTAACAGTATACTAATATGTAAAAAATAAGAATTTGGTTTTTGGTCATTTGAACACGGGCGGAGCGGCGAGTATTGCTAGTTAACTTAATAAAACTCTAACACTGACAGACAGACAACGCACAGAGTCTAGATGCCTGAAATATTATAGATGCGATGTATCGAATATAAGAACTAAGAAAGGAATATTGAAAATTCATATCCGAAATGGGTTTTATAGAGGATGTAAAAGAGATGACCCAAATATTGGCAATTTGAAACATATTCAGAGCAATCAATAATATTTTAATGTGAATACTAACGGAAGACATCTTTTATATATTTTTTGTGAACTTTTATCTACACAAAACACTACAAATTTTCTCACTTATTCTATATCTTTTAATAACAATACGTACGTATCTTTGTATAATATGTTGGGGAACATATTGCTCAATTTCTTTATACAAAATTTCATATTTGTATTATTTTTATATATTTTCTGAGTCTAGAAGCATGAATGTTAGTAATAGAATCCCATCGGACTAAGTTAATTGATGAGGCGTAGCTCGCTACGCCACGTAAAAGCAAAATAAATAAACAAAATACGCCACTTTGTAGTTAAAATTGTGCCATCGATAAGCTAGTAAGTAGATTAGTTGAGCTTTCATGTATTTTGGAGGTAAAGTCTGATTTTTCTGCGGCTTCTATTGATTATATTTAGCGTAATTTAATGGGTTTTAAAATTGGGACGCTCTTTATTTTCGATCTAAGGCAGCTAATAATATTGTTATTTTTATTCGGTGAATTTTCATCAAAAATTCACTCATAACAGACAAAACGCAAAAATCTGACATGTTTTTAACTTTTCCTTACAGCAATTTACATAATTATTGTATATTTTTCTTGAGATTGAAATAATTCGGTTAAAGCAATCGCGTCTTCAGCAATAAAATTGCTAAGTCAGATTCTGACTAACACATCACTAGATATACAAAAAATGTCACTAACAAAAGTACTTATTTTATTTTATAATCCATCTTGAAGAGCTGTTCACAGTGAATTACATTTGAAAAGCCCACGATAAGTAACCATCAAACCCGCGTCGAAATAACTTAAGTGCTGGAAGCGACCCGTTATGAACACTTAACTTAATTCTTCTCTTCTACTTTATATCTATAGTATATATAATTTCCTTTTTATTCGACTGTTATGGAGATTTTGATATAGCAAATATCTATAAAAAGTGTATTCAACTCTTGTCCCATTGCTGGGCACGAGCCTCCCTTGAGTCGAGGGGAATTAGGCCATAGTCCACCACGCTGGCCAATTGTGGGTTGGCGAACTTCCATGTCCTTCAAAGACTTGCTAGGTTCTCTCAGACATGCTTTTGTTTTCGTCACAAAGTTTTTGTACGTCGAAGGACCAGTGGTAATCTTGTTGGAAATGATTCGTGACATGAAAAGGAAGAAACTCATAGGTAAAAGTTTTATAATATATGATACAAACTTAAAATTTGTAATTAAAAAAATATTCTAAACTATAAAAATCGCAATTTTGTCCACGTTAAAATATAGAAAGACAATAAGAAGTTGATTAGATCACAATTGTGAATATTATCTGGTACAAATAGTTCGATGTGGAACTCGTTATAAGCAATAATCATACTAATTTACATCTAAATATACATAAATATTAATATATTATACTAGCAAGTAGCAGTACCCGCGGCTTCGCCCGCGTTCAAACTTCTAATCCCTATCAAACTTCACAAGGTCACCCGCTGGGCTAATCTGAAGATTGCCTGATTTCATCAAAATCGCTCTAATCGTTTAGGAGTCCATAGGGAACAAACACACACATTGATTTTATATATAGATAATTAACATTTCTATTGTCAACAGATGTTTTATTAGACAACTGTTAATATGATCTGATGCAAGTTATTTTTAAAAAGAAATTGTGTTGCTAAAGTGATTAAAAGTAAGTACCCACAATTTACATCTTTCAACAAATTGGGTATAGTGTTATGACCAGTACTGCGGTCTCTATCAACGTCGATACTAATTAGTTTAACCTCACTCCCTTTAAATTCAATCTTAGTGACACAGAAATAGAGTTAAATTTTCGCTAAAACTGTATTCTAAGCTTATTTTAGTGTCATAATGAAAGAAATGGCGAAATGTCTTAATAATTGATGAACGAAATGAAGACTGCAGTGTTATATAAAACTTATTTAGATGAACATCGAGGTCGATATATAGTGGGTATATCTAAGTATTTTATAATCACTTACTACTTTCAGCAGCGTAGATGGATACTGGATAGCTATTCGCGTCTGTATGTGTACTTAGGTATGTACGCACGTAAGAAGTTATACTTCTTTGGCGTAACAGAACAAAAATAGCTAAAGATTTCATCCTGTATGTCACAACTCTCTGTTTGTAAAAGGAATGATAAATTAATAAAAATTAAAATTAAACAAGGCATATTAGCGCTATTACAATCATATATTTATAGAATATCATTTAACAAAATAATATAATATTATATATTATTTGTCAGACCATAACAACGGTTACCATTGCAACAAACAGTTATCAGCTAACTTCATCATGTCGCTTTTTGGCTGTCAGTGTGCGCGCGCATCGTAAAAATGTTACTCTCATAATTTTTTCCAAACGTTCCAAAAGAAGTAAAACTTCAAAACATGTTGTATCTACACTTGAAAATTATACTTGAATATAATATTATGTTCATTTGAACAAAAGCCCAACGCCAGAATTTTAAAAGTTTGTCTGTCTGTTTATACCTAGTGATCTGACTGTGTGTGTGGCTACTAGTGGTGTGACTGATAAATCACATTAAGTAATAAGTCTTGTATACTAATAAATTAATTTAACTTAACGATAACTGACAATTACCGACAATACCATACCTAATGATGACGTGTCCACGAAATTTTAATAACACTCGAACAAATTTCATACAACATTTATTATAATCTAGTTTTAAATTTGTTGCATTACTCACAGTACCCCATTTAACGTTAATTAATTGTGAATTTAGACGATATAGTTATATAAAATTTAAATTATTAAAGTTGTGTATGACGTTTAATATTTGACTAGAATTCGCCCCAGTTGTCAAAATTCTATATAATAATAATAATATCATTTATTTCAACCACAAGGATCATATTTTGTTAGTAAAGACACACTTTAACCTAATGCTAGTACACATTTAACCTACTTAATCCTAAACCTTATCTAAGACAGACTCGATTTGTCAGCATGTGCACCGTTTGGCAATGGTTCAAATACTGACAATCGAACCTGTCAGCAAATGCCCTAAGGATGCTATTGGAACTGGCCCGAACCCTGCGCGCCAGGGATGTGCACCGTTTGCGCATGATATCGTAGAAACAATCTACATGCGCTTCGCCGAACATACCCGACGCGCTGCACCAACGAGGCAGTCCCATCAGCATCTTGAATGCATTATTATACTAAACACGCAGGGCATTGTACTATTTCTGCGTGTAATCGACCCACAGGCTGCTAGTATAAAAAGAAATACAGTAAGCTCTAAAGAGTGTCACTTTAACAGGGATGGAAAATATATATAAAATTATTTAAAACTTTGGGAAAGGATAATATGTATATGAAAAGAATCCATACTAATATTATAAATGTGAAAGTGTGTTTGTTTGTTTGTCCTTCTTTCACGTCGAAACGAAGTTACGGATTGGCATGATTTTTTGTGTGGAGATAGTTGAAGGCCTGGAGAGTTACATAGGCTACTTTTTACCCCGGGGATTACTTAATTAAAAAATATTTATGATCAGAATTAGTTAAAACTTGGTATTAGATAATGCAATTAAAATGATAATGAAATTAAATAAATACGTGTTTTAGCATTTTTCAAAATTTATCCTTTATGGGAGTAAAATAGGGGAAGAAAGTTTGTATGTAGGTCACATACAAACTTTTAACCTTTTTAGAGCTTTTTTGTAGTTTTAGCGCAAACAAAGCCGCGGGTTCTGCTAGTTTATCTACCTATGTAAGAATCTGTTCTATTTCCAAAATGTGACACTAAAGCTGCTACACAATAAAAGAATATCGATTGACCAACAGAGAAGAAAAAGTTACTAAACTCTTTTGTCTTTGCCTATTTATATATTGTATAAAATAATGTTTATCACAGAATATTAAAGAATCGCTAGATTTATAAAATACTAAACATTATTTTTTTTCTTTTTTTCTTTTTTTTTATTTATTTATTTTAGGTCTTAGTTATTTTAGGTCTGAGTGTCATGTCCGTGTATGTTTTGATTAGGTTTGATTCACATTCATTTTTCAAGCTTTTATTTAGTTTCAACTATCCCGGTGTGTGTAATGGAATATATTTTTTTAATAAATATTTAAAACCTGTGTAGATAAACAAGAATATAATATTTAAAATAGGTAAATCCCTCGACAAGCTTTTATATCATACTAGTGACGCAAACTTTCATCCCCATTTTCACCCCCTTAAAGGATAATTTCCGGGATAAAAAGTATCCTATGTCCTTTCCAGGGTCTCAAACTATTTTCTTACCTAATTTCATCTAAGTCTGTTTAGTAGATCTAGAGATTACCCCGTACAACGTCACAAACTCACAATTTACAAACTCATAAACTACCTCTTTATAATATTAGTATAGACTAGTTTTACCATATATATTTTTATTATATATACATAAACATACATATACATAATAATAAAATAATGTCTAAATAATATGTATGTATAATATATATGCATAAACAAATTACATAGCACGGCGCTAATGACAGAATAACCCTAGTAATATATTATTATATTTTTTATTACAGTCTGTATCGGTGACGGTGTCGGTGTTGACGCTTACCTTCATCTCTGTGGACCGCTGGTATGCCATCTGCTTCCCTCTCAAGTTTAAATCTACGACAAGTCGCGCGAAGACCGCGATACTTATCATCTGGGTGCTGTCATTACTATTCAGTGAGTAACGTTCACGACTTAAAGTATACCTTATATAAATTATATAATATAAATTACAACGTCACTTTGTATGTATGTATGTATGTTGTGTATGTGTGCCTTCGACTGCATAATACTATTCTCATCTTCTAGTTCGCTTTTTACGCAGTCGGATTTTTTGTTTTTATTTTTGTAATCATTTTTTTTTGCTATTATAACTCAAATGTCCCCTGTCTTAGAAATTATATATTTTTTATTATAGGTACAAATATTATAATTCAAATTAAGTCTCTAACTGTCGATTCGAAAATATGTAGTTATGTGAGAATCTGAAAATAAATCAAATAAATCTAATAATAAAGATAATCCCATTAATTATTAATTATCTCATAGGTAATTATTATTCATGTAATAGTTTTAATGTTTGGATGGATAATACTTTCTTAGATTTACGCGAATATTTGACATTTTAAATAAAACTATCTTTTCGGATTTTGTCGCGGATTTATTTGGATTTTTGTTTCCCGACGTTTCGAATGCTTTACAGCATCCATGGTCACGGGAGAGACTGAGGTGTTACATGTCTTGAATGTATAGTTGTTACAGACAGCCTACCCACAATTAACAAAATGAAAATTGCACCAATTACATTACAATATTTTTTAACTTTAAACATTTTTATAATTTTAATTATAATTGAATATGGAAAATTATTTATTTAATTTTGCTATTATTTTTATAATTATTACAATTTTAAAATATTAATTAGTAATCTATATTTAGTGTTGCCATTATTATATTTATAACCATAAAGAAAAATATAAAATGTAGTATTAATTATTAAAGCCATATAATTGTTCTATGTGTAATTTAAAAAGTTAAAATTAATTAAGGATAATAATTTTAATTTAGTTTGCTATTATTTAAAACAACTTACTAAGCAACACTATTAATATATACTTTTACAAATGAAAAATGAAAAATATTAGTCTGATAAGCTGTCATTTTGATCTACACAGTATGAACTTACTACATCTGCCTGTCTGTTATGTTTATATTTATTATTTGATTTTATTATATTAATAACAGGATCCCATGACGATGGTAGTACCCAGCCATCTTCCCTATTGAAATTAGGATGTTTTTTAATTTCTATGGCTTCTCGAATCATTCTAGGGCGATATCGGTTTTCTTTCGCCAGGATTTGAGGTCTATCGAAGCGAATATAATGGCTTGGGCGGTCCTGACTATGTTTGCAGACAGCAGATGTTGTATTGCGACGGTGCTTCACATCAGCTATGTGTTCTTTGACCCGGGTTCTAATGGATCTCTTTGTTTGTCCGATGTAAGAGAGCCCACAATCACAATCAAGCTTGTAAACTCCTGCATCTTGTAGAGGGAACCCGGGTCAAAGAACACATAGCTGATGTGAAGCACCGTCGCAATACAACATCTGCTGTCTGCAAACATAGTCAGGACCGCCCAAGCCATTATATTCGCTTCGATAGACCTCAAATCCTGGCGAAAGAAAACCGATATCGCCCTAGAATGATTCGAGAAGCCATAGAAATTAAAAAACATCCTAATTTCAATAGGGAAGATGGCTGGGTACTACCATCGTCATGGGATCCTGTTATTAATATAATAAAATCAAATAATAAATATAAACATAACAGACAGGCAGATGTAGTAAGTTCATACTGTGTAGATCAAAATGACAGCTTATCAGACTAATATTTTTCATTTTTCATTTGTAAAAGTATATATTAATAGTGTTGCTTAGTAAGTTGTTTTTAAATAATAGCAAACTAAATTAAAATTATTATCCTTAATTAATTTTAACTTTTTAAATTACACATAGAACAATTATATGGCTTTAATAATTAATACTACATTTTATATTTTTCTTTATGGTTATAAATATAATAATGGCAACACTAAATATAGATTACTAATTAATATTTTAAAATTGTAATAATTATAAAAATAATAGCAAAATTAAATAAATAATTTTCCATATTCAATTATAATTAAAATTATAAAAATGTTTAAAGTTAAAAAATATTGTAATGTAATTGGTGCAATTTTCATTTTGTTAATTGTGGGTAGGCTGTCTGTAACAACTATACATTCAAGACATGTAACACCTCAGTCTCTCCCGTGACCATGGATGCTGTAAAGCATTCGAAACGTCGGGAAACAAAAATCCAAATAAATCCGCGACAAAATCCGAAAAGATAGTTTTATTTAAAATGTTTGGATGGATGTTTGTTACTCAGTCACGCCAGAACGGCTGAACAGTTCTGGATGAAATTTGGCACAGAAGTAGATTATAGACTGAAATAACACTAACTTCCTATCCCGAAAAAATGCCCGGTTCTTGTGGAATAGATTTGTTTTTGTTTCTCATTAGTGACGACCCCGAGAGAAGAGAGGGTGAGTCGCTAGTGTCAATATAATTAGTTTTAATTATAGAGACCGTACTAAATGGTAGAACTCTACAATGGCTACAAAACTTTAGATATTAGGCTTATTTCATTATTTTTGACGAGTACTGTAGACATCGTATTGTTTGACTTTTAAACTTTTACTGACGTAGTTTTGGTAAAGTAGAGGTCACAATAGTTTCGTTTCTACAAACATGTGTAAAACCATCGGCATTTATTAATATTTTCATATTGTATGAGTAATTATTGACTTGACTAATATCCACCAGTTCTTTATGTATAATGCAGAAATGCTAGAAAAGCCAGTATTACCCATTAAAATCCAACCAAACCTTCCGCCGTCTTAATGGGGCGTCTCATGATCATTTACGCACTCAAACAAGACGCCTCGACGGGCAGTCTGCCGAAGAAGACCGCACAACGAAGGAGTCGCTCCCATAATCCACTCTGCTGTCAGAGAAATACCAGGAGCAACTCGCATGGTACACCGCCTACCAAAGTGGGCCACCTCCCAGTGTACCTCTTGGCTTATGGCCCGTCTAGATTGCCGGACACTAATGAACTCCCCAACCACGTTAAGGTGAACGGATATTATCAACGAAGGAACAGATTAAATAACCTTACCCAACAAATAAAAAAAAAAAGTTAATTAAAATAAACCGAACATATAACCTGCTTCTTTTTAGACAGAATGAATAGGTTTAAACATTTCTCTTTATAGACTTTTACGATTCACGAGGAATAGACATTACTTAACTTTTTTTGAGAGCCGTTAAAAGTTAAATGGGTCTGACACATGACACCAGATCGTGAAAGGCATATATCCTTCCTTTTGATAATATATTTCTCATTATTCAAAAGCATTAGAACTAAGGGAAACGCCTTCTTTCTACGTATCATATTATATTTTTGGGTCCTCCGATACATTTGGACTTTCTTTATTTTATGGCATAACAGTCTGAAACTAGTAGGTAAAATAGTTAATACAAATATTTACATTATAATAGAATCGAACCCACATAATTCGTAATTTATTTGATACCAAGCGACTTATGAGCATCTCTAATTGCCTAACAGTAGCTGATAAAGCAACTTAACGGTTATTTTTTTCAACAAGTTATTATGATTTCCGACAGTAAACAATTTCTTACCGGAATAAAACGCAGCCTATAGAATTCGGCGGTAATGTAGCTTCCTACTAGTTAGTAAGAATTTTTAACTCAGATGGATAATTTTGAAGATTCTGTTCTACATACAAACTTAAAAACTTACATCTTTATAATATTAGTGTAAATGTACTTGATAATAGCTATAATCTCACACGCACTTTTACATAATAACATCAGTTTCTGTGTCTACGAACACAATATTTTCACTGTGGATCAAAGCGAGATCACGAGACCAGTTTTCCTGAAATTGTCAGAACATTAATATTTTATTAGAGATTATTATCTTACCCTCGCGTCGATCGTAGCCCTAAGTGCCCTATAATAGCCTACAAGTATGTATTACACTAAGTCTGAGTACTATCTATACATATAATAAAATAGTAATTTAGTTAAATCTGTTCATGAATATTTTTTTTAAATAATGACTGTAACGTATTGTGTAAAGAATATAGACCCCGAAACAATAGTTACTCAAATTTGTGTCTGTATGTCTACGTTTCATTCAAAAAGCATGGAACCGATTTTGACTAAATGTGGTGATTCATAACTTATTACTCGAGTTTTAGGAAGGAGGCTTTATACTATAGGAAAATTTTTTATTCCCACAGCAAAACACAATCATTGGTTTTATCGAGTTGTCTTTAGAAGTATAATATATGGCTAACGCTGGCTAAATCTTAAGAGATACGTAAAAACAATGTGCTAAAAAATTGTAGGTCTTATGATAACGTACAGAAAAGTCTGCAATAACATATGTTTATCTCCTAAAGTACACTCAAAATAACTAATTACGAGTATATCTATTTAAAACGTAAACGTACCTACTTTGTATTTCATACAAATTCGTCTAGACGTCTAAGCGTGAAGGACTAACAAGCATACTAATTTTTTTTGCCTAAAATATTAGTTCGGTTATAATATTTATAAGTATACTAATATTACTAAATTTTTACAGATGTTCCGGAATTCGTAGTTCTGCAGGTGCAAAAAAACATGGAGTTGCGTTTCAACGTGCAGTACTTTATGCAGTGCAAGCCCACGTGGTCTGATGAGAGTGATCTCAAGTGGCATATTATAAAAGCTCTGTTTCTTTATACGTAAGTAATATTTTCAGTATATTTTAAACGTAACCAAACTTTATTATATTATTTTTGATATTCTTAAAAAATGATTTTTTTACTACGGTTTTTTCTTTACCTTCATAAAATGTAACATACGTTTGTCCTTAATGCTAGTTTTTATCTCGGAGGTTAAAAAAATGACATTCTAGAATGGTTAACGCCAGTAGTAAAAATAAAAAAAGGTTAAGAATGAGATATTTAAGCATCTATGTAAAAAAATTGGTGCGTGTAACCTTTACGCGTGGTTGAAGTAAAACTTCTTTGGCAAATATCGCAATTAAATTAAAACAAATCAATAACTGAATAAGGCATATTACGGATATTACAATCATATCTTTATAGAATACTAGCATTGCCCGCGGCTCCGCCCGCGTTAAGATGACCAAAAACCAAATTCTTAGGTTTTACATAGTGTATTTTCCCGCAGTAAAAAGTATCCTATATGTTGACCCGGATAACCAGCTATCACCATACCAAATTTCATCAAAATCTCTCCCGTGGTTAAAATTTGCTTATTGGTTATCTGAACTCGGGCGGAGCCGCGGGCAATGCTAATTTTATATAAAACTATCTTTTCGGATTATTTAAAAAATCTAAACAAATCCGCGAAATAATCCGTAAAAGTTGATTTATTGAAAATGGTTATAATTTTATTCAGTTTAATGAACAGATGGTAATACAAAGTACATATTTTGATCTATTTCAAAAAATGAGGAGGTATTTATAAAATAATAAAAAATGTATACAACAACTTTCATATTAATGCAAAAATATTTTTTTTCTTTACACATTCTCATTTAGGAATCTAGACCACGCATATCTTAATCATTCATACTCCAGATCTATCCAAATAACACATTTCGTCCAAATTTATCCAATCGATTCTCCATGAAGAGAAATAAACACAGATATGTATAAACTTTCCAACTCCGGCCTATCATTAGGAAGTTCTTGACAGAAAAATTCAATGACTAAACGTGCTCCGACACGAGACTCGAACCCAGGACCTACAGCCATACATGCTAACCACTAGAGTCTAGCTAAACCATCGAGGAGGTCAAACTACTTTCGCATCAAAATGATTTACATTATTTTTACAGCTTTTTCTATACTTGTATACAGCATTTATAAGTTCATTTAATCTCAAGTTTATTCAAAATAGTTTTGTAACTAAGATTAGCTAATCATAAACTTTATTAATCGCACCGTTTTCAATTAGACAAATCCATCAAAATTTTCAAGTGAAATTTTGAGTGTTCTTCCAAAAGTTCCTATTTAATATCATAATAACGTCCTACAGAAGTTTGACAATTTTACAAATTCATTAATCGCATTTATTCTATTATTGTACGAATATTGAATCTAAAAATCAAAACACTTGTACAATTTTAACCAAACCAATAATACGTAAGTTAATTAAATTCTAACATAAAATTGTAAAGATTGTATTAAAAATATGTTTAATAAAGTGCTTGTAAGTAAAACTTCTTTGGATTTTTTCGTGGATTTATATGGATTTTTTTGTTCTTGACGTTTCGAATACTTTACAGCAATCATGGTCACGGGAGAGACACGCGTTTAAATACTCGTACATATTATCGATACAGAGGCCGAATCTATAGTTTTTTTTTTAATCTGTCTATCTGGGAATGCATTACGAGAAAATCACTGGACAGATTTTGATGAAATTTAGTATGATGATAGCTGATTGTTCGGGTCAACTTACCTATACGATACTTTTTACTGCCGGAAAATATCTCATCTCTGAGAAATCTGTACTAAACGTTAACTAGGAGGATGAGTCGTTAGTATATAATAAAACAAATAAAAGGCACTTGTATACGAAAAGACTAAAGAAATACTCGTGAAAATTCATTTGTTGCTGAAACGTAAAAAATTGATTAAATCTTTTTTGTTCGCCCTTTCCATAGTTTTAATATTATATTATTCTCCACAGGTTCCCTCTGCTATTGATGATGATAGCGTATTGTCAGATCGTGAGAGTACTTTGGAGATCTGACAACATCCCGGGACACACTGAATCGCACAAATTGTGCCCGCCCAGTGGCCAGAACAATTGTAAGTCATATTCTTATATATGTACGTAGATATTTTTATAACTTCGTTAAACTTATTAACACAATAAGTAAATAAATAGATTTCGCGGATTTCTTTAGATTTTTGGTTCCTTATGTTTAGAAAGTTTTACAGCAATCATGGTCACGTGTAAAGTCTTAGACACACACAGACTTATCTAAATCTGTCAAGCGTTTCAGTGTGATAATGTATTGAACTTTGAACAACTACATACTTTCGAATTTATAATTGTAGTCTGACTGACTAATAGTATATAATTAATTAATTAATTAGTAATAATATAAAATTAATTAAAATAATTCCAATCTCACATTTATATTAGTATGTATTTAAAGTTATATATGTGTAGTATATCAACAATCTGCTGTCCATTACACAAGCCTCATAGTTTACCATGGAACTAGATGATCATTTATTTGTGTCTTAATCTGACACGATCGTACATCAAGCCAAGGTAAATGCCCTCTCCACATGTTTGAATTTCTTATGGCTTGTCGAGATTTGGCAAGCATGGGATCCGGCATTAAATTTACTATATAAAGTTTATTAGGGATGCTTTTAATTAAACTTACTCCTCTCATTAAATACCCATTTTCCCACAAATATGATTTTGATTTAGAATAATATTTCGATTGTTAAAATTTCCGGTAATCGATTTCACAGTTAGGACAACTTAAATTAAATTTTCGAACTCAAACATTCAGCCAATATTTTAAAAACTGCTTATTAAAAACCCCTTTAAGTATCACCTCACAATATCCAGAATCATTTAATTTTCCCTTTCAACCGACTGAAGAGGAGGTTCTCGATTCATCGAAATCTTTTGGAACGATGTTCCTTATGGGACAATGCGGAGGGGTACCCTAGGGGTGTAAGATTTTTATGTATAGTTGATGTGTGTTCGCTATACAGTGTCTAATGTATGTAATAAAATGAAAGTATTAAGATAATTTTTAAGTAGTTTTTGATTTTTGTCGATAAAAAAATCATAATAAAAAATGTATACCCGATTTTTTTTTATTTTTTTTACCGCGACTAGAACTTAAAATTAATATTTATGTAATAAGGTACGTTATTCCTATCTGGTGTTCCACGGCACCATTTAATAATATATTTTTTTCTTCTTTTTTATGTATGTTCACCGATTACTTAAAGACGCTTGAACCGATTTGGGAAATTCTTTTTTTGTTTCAAATAAGTATACTTTCCAGGTAGTCCCATTTAAATTTTATCGAATTCGGTCGAGCGGTTTTATAAAAATCAAAAATAAATTATTTTAAAAAAAATCGAATATGTTATTAAAACGATCCTCTTACAAATTATCTGCGTATCGTCTAAAAATGGAAAAATAAAAACTTAAAAAAAACCCACTTCCAGGCACTAAAAAGTAAAAAATAACTAAATGGGGGTTTTCATTTAGAATTATCCTAATCAGATATTTTCGAAGTCAATGCCAGCCGAAACAAATAGTGCCAGTAGATGTTTCATACAAACTTTCACCCCCTTATAGCATGAATTTCGAAGATCATTAATACGAAGTTTCAAGTAATTCTGATCATAAATAGTTTTTTGAATTCTATTATAACATGTTTTCCCGTGGGAGTTACATAAATTCCAGCAGTAAAAAGTCCAGCCCTCCATCTATCTCCACACAAAAATCACGCCAATCCGTCAATCCGTTTCGATGTGAGAGAAGGACAAACAAACAAGCAAACAAACAAACCTACTTTCACATTTACCACATTAAGTATGGATTGACAGATTTTAATGTCCCAACACATTTGTATATTTATATTTAACCTGGTTTATTTCGTTTTAAATTTTATTTAGTTTAAAGGATAGACTAAGCTTAATTAGCTTAGACAAGGCCGTATCAAGTTTAGCCCAAGTACAATTTAATACTATTAGGTCACCTCTAGTATTTATCTCTATTAACAGTATTAAATCAGGAGTATCCGTTAACACTTTTAGAAAGCATAGAGTGTAAATGCCTTATCTATACTAATATTATGAAGAGGGAAAATAAATTTGTTTTATGTTTGTATATTTATTTTTTAATGTATAAACTAAAAATCCGCTGACCCGATTTTTGATGAAATTATATGAAGACAATTTGAAACCCTGGAAAGTACATATGATAATTTTTAATCCGGAAATCATCCCTTATGGGGGTGAAAAATTTGAATGAGGGATCAGTCATTTCTTAAAGTAATATTGTATATAAAACTCATTATTCCTATATTATATGTATATACATTATACATATGTATATATATGTACTGATATATAATCTACCTATTCCATACTAACCGTTAAAACGTACCTAATTGAAATTTGACTTGAAATAAAGAATTTTTTGCTTTTAGATAAAGGAAAAACACTTCTACATATTTAAATAAAGCTTAATTTTAACCTATAGATTAGATATAACAACATATTAAGTTAAATAAGATAATTTAATTCAAGGAAAATACAATATGCAAAACATTTTATACTGACTTTTGATTCCCGACGTCTGTCCCGTGACCATGATAGTTATAAAGAAATCGAAACAAAAGACAAAAGATCTAAATAAATCCAAAAAAAAAATTTGAAGATATTTTTATTTAAAATGTCAAATATTCACGTAAATCTAAGAAACTATTACATACTAGTTCTTTCCTACGTCTTTGCTCGCAAGATAAGCGGGGTATCAAAGGTAACCTATGTCCGATCACAGGATGCACCCAGGGCCGAATTAACCACGCGGCGGGCCCCTACGCAATGTAATCCTCGGGGCCCTTTCACCTTTTTCTAACTTATTAAAATACATTTTTTTCACTACATTTACATTTTTTTTGTCCTCATGGTGGCATTTTTACCATTTTTTTTAATTTTCCAAATTAAATGTTCACTCGATGAAATATTCTCAACATTTTAAATAAAATTATCTTTTCGGATTTTTTCGCGAATTTATTTTGATTTTTGGTTCCCGACGTTTCGAATGCTTTACAGCAATCATGGTCACGGGAGAGACTGAGGTGTTAGATGTCTCTAAGGTATTATATAGTTGTTGCAGCCAGCCTACCCACAAATAACAAAATGAATTCAAAAATTGAAATATGGCACCATGGTACCTTACAATATTTTAACTTTTAACTTTAAACCTTTTTTATATAATTTTAATTAGCTTTATAATTGAATATGGAATATTATTTAATTTGAGCTGTTATTATTATAATTATTACAATTTTAAAAACATTAATTAGTAATCGATATTTTTAGTGTTGCTATTATTATATTTATAACCATAAAGAAAAAATCATAATATATTAATTATTTAAGCCACATAAACAACCTTATGAACCTATATCCTTGCCAAATTTAATAGAAATCTGAAGGCAGAATTACTTCTACATAATAGTAGTAGAAATATGATTTTTGTAATAGTATAGATGTAAGTCTCGGGTTTCTAGTAGTATATAATATTTAAATTAGTTTAATATTTACTAAACAGTGTTTACGAAGAGATATCTTTGGGTATAAATTACCAATCCAGCTCGTCAGCTAAGTGAAGCTTATAGAGCGATGTTATAAATCGTGCCACTTAATCAATATTTTGTCTTTGTATTATTATATTTAGATTTTGAAATATCAGCGAATTTATAATAAATGAGTGAAGCCTTTCATTGCCGAATCTGTACATTAAATATTTTTTGGGAAATAATCTATAGTTTTTAAAAAGTTTGTCTGCCTGTCTGTCTGTTACCGCAACATGGAAAAACTACTGGAGGGATTTTGATGAAATTTGGTTTGATGATAGCTGGTTATCCAGGTCAACATATAGGATTCTTTTTACTGCGGGAAAATATCTCATCTCTGAGAAATCTTTACTAAGCGTTAAAACGTAAGTAGGGACAAACCAGAGCGGAGCGAGGGTGAGTTGCTAGTAATATATAAAGCTGAAGAGTGTGTTTGTTAGAACGCGTCAGTCTCTAATGTTATGGTCCAATTTGAAAAAATCATTTTGCATTTTGTAGCCTATTTATTAAGGAAAATTATTGGCAATCTTACATCACACTAGCACCCGAGAACGAAGTAATTCTCCAAAATTACACGACACAGACACGGCCGCGAGAAAACGCTATCGAATTATATGTAGATTGAGCGATGGCAAACTACACACTACTTCATATTAAACTAGTTTTTACCTCCAGTTCCGCTTACATTGTAAGCGTGATGGGAAAAAGGTAGTATATAACGGGAGAAAAGGTAGCGCTGCGTATGTCCGTTCCTTGATTGAATCTATATATCTGGGAGAATTTCGTCGAAATCTGTTCAGCAACTTATACGTGACAGACAAATAGAAAAAAGACAAACAAAAGATAAAAATAATAGTATGGAAAATAATAATTTTGTAATACAAAAGCTATTTTATACATAACTATGTAAAATATCGAGTCTATAAATAAACTTTTAATCTCTATTACGAGTATGTCATGTATGTAGGCGGTGCTAGCCATATCAAAGCTTTGTATTGAATTGCATTAAATGCAAAGGTCAGCATGCATTCTGAATTTAAACCAATTGAAAGATAAAAGAATCGTTTAAATACACTTATATGAGATTATTGAACTGTTTAGTACAGATTGGTTGTAGCTTTTTGTACATATGTAGGTACTAATATTATAAATATTAAAATGTTGTTTGTTTGTTTGTTTGTAATTGATAGACTCATAAATTACACAACCGATTTTGATCTTTCGCCATTGAAAAACTACGTTATACAATAGTAGCATTATTGTATATATTATTTCTACACAAATAAGTTTTTAGCTTTCAATCTAATAACACGTTAATCTATACAGATAAATAAAATTGAAGTGTCTGTTTGTCATTTCAAAATAACAGGTTTTTACTAAACGCATATGAAATTATATACGATATTTATAAGAAAAACACAATTTTAAAATTTTTGTATGTCTGTCTGTCTGTTTGTTCCGGCTAATCTCCGAAACGGCTAGGCCGATTTTGACGGAATTTTCACTGGCAGGTAGTTGATGTTATAAGAAGTAACTTAGGCTACTTTTATTTTAGTAAAAGAATTAGGGTTCTGCTCAAAAAAATTAAAATGTACCTAGGGACGAACCCGAACGAAGCGAGGGTGAGTCGCTAGTGGCTAATAAGGAAATAAATATTTAGCCCAGATATTTTAACTAAACAACCTGTGCCTAAACAAACGAACAGATGGACATGATAAAATTATAAGAGCTCTGTTCTTGCCTTTTGGAGACTGACATCTAAATTGCTTACATCTTTCTTAGATAAAACAAAAAGTTGTATTGGTATAAAAAATCTTAAAAAAAATACTCAATTTATTATTATGTTTTGATCTTATGAAAAAAATTGGTAAATAATAATTGAAAAGGCTATTTTTAATAAAAGGAATTAATACTTTCTTAGATTTACGCGAATATTTGACGTTTTAAATAAAACTATCTTTTCGGATTTTGTCGCGGATTTATTTGGATTTTAGTTTCCCTACAGTCTCTCCCGTGACCATGATTGCTGTAAAGCATTCGAAACGTCGGGAAACAAAAATCCAAATAAATCCGCGACAAAATCCGAAAAGATAGTTTTATTTAAAAGGAATTAATTTCAGAATTATGAAATTCAGTGAGAGATTTTTATATTTCATTAAAAAAATGGTTAATTAAAAGCAAAACACACATAGCCTTTATTAACGTCCCTCCAGCGTTCACAAGAGATTAATTGGCCAATTTTTAACCGAGACCGTTATTCATTTTGACTTTTTATATAAATTTGTGATACATGAGAACTTTGAAACTATACTCTATCCAATGAGCTTTAGGTCATAGCTTCGATACTTGCGTAGGTAAATATATTTTGTATCGTTCTAGTTACATCATTCTACTTATTGTTAATGCGAAAGTTTGTATGTGTCTGTATGTTTGTTACTGCTTCATGCTGTAATGACTAGAGAGATTTTGAAGAAGTTTATTACATAGAGAGAATATGAACTGGACTAACACATATGTAGGCTTCTATTAGGAATAAAATTTCCAAAAGGTGGCGCTATCTATCAGGTTGAAATTTTAGCAGAGGCAAGCCGTTCCAAAAATATACAATTTTTGTATGATTTTTGAATTTAACAAAAAAAAAATAAAGCTATTATTCTATATACATATATTTCCAAAAGAACATTTATAAGTATTTTAAATGTATGTACGTAAAAATTAAATGTATGTAAAATTATAGCAAAATAATTTTAAGGTAAGACGTCTTGTATGGACGCTTCACCACTTCTATCTATATAATATATAAGTATTTATAATGTTATATTATAACATTATAAATATAAAAGACACTAATTACTACCTAGTTTTTCAACCGACTGAAGCAAGGGTAAATCGCTACTAATACTAATAAAATACGGTTATATTGTCAAAGCTGAAATTGTACACTCGTTTAGTATTCATCCGAAGAATAACAAAAAATCTTTTGAACTTTGAATGTGGAAATATACATATGCCTTGGGGAATATATTTCTTCATTTATTACAAAAAACGTTGTACCTTTGTCAGGTTGGTTTGACGCAAAAGCTTTTTCGGAATATAAATAAAGTAAAATGCTTCGTGCAAAGAATATTTATCTTACGACCGTGACAGGACTCGAACCTGCAGTCTTCGGATCCGAAGTCCGACGCCTTATCCATTAGGCCACACGGTCATATTCATGATATGCCAAACATCAGGTTTCTTTCAAACCTCTTCGCTAATGTTAACTTAAAACAATATACCTTTGAACGTCCATGCCGAAATTTTTCTTATGCTTTTTTACTATTTATTATTACTAGTTCATTCAGTGATCGAATTTGACCACAATCATTATTGAATGTTTGAAGAATTTATATATATGAATAGAATATAACCTATCTATATTCTATATAAAAAAATCTGTTTCCACATTTTTTAATCTACACTAATAATATAAAGAGGTAAAGTTTGTGAGTTTGTGAATTGTGAGTTCGTGACGTTGTAGGGGGTAATCTCTGGATTTACTGAACCGATTTAGATGAAATTTGGTAAGAAGATAGTTTGAGACCCTGGAAAGGACATAGGGTACTTTTTATTTCCGAAAGCATCCCTTATGAGGGTGAAAATGGGGATCAAAGTTTGTATTGAGAAGCAAGCTAGGAACGAACACGAGCGAATCGAGGGTGAGACGCTAGTTGATAATTATAAAGCTCACCCCACTAAACAAAAAAAAACAGAGGAGAAAAATGTACAGAACTGGTTTGTCCTTGCCTATTTATATATAGATGATATTTGCCGACGTTATTAAACTAAAGACTTAGTTTGAGATGAAAAATTGTGAATGGACTAAGAGGAAATACAAATACGAGCTCTGCTAGAGGTACATAATGTGTGTTCACTTAGCGGTGTTGAAGTTTAAAGTTACATTTTGATTTTACATGCAGACCGTTTGGCGCTTGACTGTTTGACGGTTGGCAGTGCTTTGCTCTAAAGATAGTGGGTTCAATTGTCGAGTGAATCATATCTATGTACGTTTAATTAACATCGATATTTTTTCAATTTCCATATTTTGTACAAATAAACCTGGAAGAAATATCAAAATCCATTGCGTAGAAGAAGTAAGTCGAGATACGGACAGATGCTAAAAACGGCTTTATTTATTATTCATTAATATCTATATAAAAAAAATCATGGGTTATTTAAGGTTCTGAAACCCGATAGCATGTTTATTTCAACGGTATGAACAAAAAATTAAAACTTTTAACTGTCAGCTCTTAAAATCGATATTGTCTCATATATATAATTACACAAATGATTTTCCCAGTGTATTGGCAAGTTTTGAAGCTACCATTCTGTAGTATAAATAATCAGCCAGGGGGCAGCACTGTGTTGACGTGGCTCGTCGCGATTACTGGGAAAAAGAAAATTTTGCCTTATTCCATGAATTTTTTGATTCAATTGACTCCTTAAAAGACAAAACGCCTCGTCTTATCATCTCTACTGGTGACAAGAATGCTAGCCCATTTTTCAACAAAGAATCGACATGACCATTCAGTGGGAGAATGCAGCCAGCATTTTTGGCACACTTCTAAGTGATGTAAATTTGTTTTATATACTAATAAATAAATATGTTGGGACATTCACACACAACAACTTTTAAATACATATATATTATAAATATAAACACCCATGACTGGAGTAGAAACATTTGTGCTCATCACACAAATGAATGTCACCAGCGGGACTCGAACCCGCGACCTGCTCACACAGCAAGTCACTACAAACTGCGCCAAATGTGTTGTCATACTAATAAGTATATTTGTAATTTTCGGTTCAACTTAAACTAATTTATCACTTTGTTTCAGGGTTAGCAGCAAGTAGAAGAACGACGCCGTCAATCCACGCTAATGCATCTACTGAAGGTCAGCTTAGGTCTCGTCGTAAAGCTGCGAAGATGTTGGTGGCTGTAGTCATCATGTTTGCCGTGTGCTACTTTCCAGTGCACTTACTATCAGTTCTAAGGTAGGTTCTGAGAAGAGTTTACCCTGACCTTGACCTTGAGACTTTTTATATAACCATAAAACCAAACCATAAGATATATTTATGAAACCTTACTATATAATTATATTCTTTATTGTACTTAAAATATGATACAGAAAAAACTGATGAGAAAAGAAAGCTACTGTAGTTTGCTTTTCTCATCATTATTTAACTAAAAGTTATTTATACTAATATTATAAAGAGGCAGACTTTTTTTATTTGAACGCGCTAATCTTAGGAACTACTAATCCGATTTAATAATTATTTTTGCATTTGATAACACGTTTATTGAGGAAGGCTATTGGCTATATATCATCATGCTGCTACCCAAGGGAGCGGAGCAGTAATCATAAATGTCAACAAATCGGGCAGACTTCCATACATTATTGTAAAACTGATGTTTATAATCAAACAAATATAACGCAGGTGAAACCGCGGGGAGCAGCTAGTACTTTGATAATTTAAATTATCCTATAAATCTGCCAATAGAAGAATATAGGAGATAAATCTTATGGAATCTCTCCAATAGATAATAATCGGTTTAAAAATAGCCTATTGAAATCCATTATGACATTGATTAAACGATCTAAAGAGCAGGTAAGTTTCAAAGGGAAGGACGAGTTTGACTTTTCAAAGCGAAATACTCATTTCCAATGAACTTCAGTGCTTGACATAATAAAGTTAAAAACTTTTAATATACTACTTGGTAACGAGTTCTTGTAAAAGTTATAAATACACTATTCCCGAATATTTTTTGGGATAAGAATTTAATGTCAAATATCGTAAAAAAAAACTAAATGGCAAATACAAACATATATAGAATCATTGATATACAAAAACTCAAAATACACAATTATCGTATCAAAAGTGTTCTCAAAAAAGGTGTAGTATTTGAAATTGATTTATGCTTTTTTTCAAATCTCTTTTGTTCATTCCTTTTCGGATTATAAAATTAAAACGCGTGCTATTTCGTTTAACCCCTCCACGACCGCGGATACGCCGGCGTTACAATTAATTATGCAATAGATTTCTTATAAATTTAATTAATTTCTTAAAAATTTACCTGGAGGTGTAAAAAAATACTTTATGTGGTGTGCTTTTAAGTTCGAAAGTTTTTTTAGTTAGACAATAAGAACTTTCGATTTTTAAATTTTATTCTTTGGTTTGACTTAACGTCACCAACAGTTTTGGTAATACTTGATATAATAATCGCAACTCAAGCAAAAAAAACGTCAGCGTTTTTGTACTTTCTTTCTCCCCCTTTGTATAAAACTTTAGGAGACATTTGTCCGATTTCACCAACAACCCATAAGCTATCACCTACGTAAGGGATCCCTAGCTTAAAAGTTCCCTAAACTAGCCCCTAAATTAAATTTCGTTTTACGATCGTCTTTAAGCCCATATTTCGAGCACCTAAATTTAGGGGGCCTATTAATATTGTCGGTGAAACAGAAAGGGCCCCCTAACAGCCCCCTAACTATGCTTAGGGGATCCCTTATACTTAGGTGACGTTGGTGAAATCTAGCAATTGTGGCCTAGTTGGCCACAACATAAAATTCTCATTGTGATTCTCAATATTCGATTATTGCACGCACTGTACAGGGAAGCCATAAAGCGTACTGCCGTAAACTTCAAATAAATTAATATAAACCGTTAATTGTAAACGTAATAAAAATTACATATGATTATATTTATTTTATCTGTTATTGTTATTGCTTGTTTTTTTCTTTTATTTCTCTTTTGATATTATAAAGCTTACTTGGATATAAAAAGTATAATTAAAAAGAAATGTGTGTATTACAAGAAAATTTTATGCTCCCAATTATTTTATCTATACTTAACGTTTTTATTTCATTAAAAAATATCATAACATACAGTTTCTCTTATAGATTTTAGTAAATTGAGTATTAGAACAACTTTATTATTATCTTAACAACCATTTTTACTGTTATATTGTATTTTAGTTTTCTAATCAAGTCTTGGAAACTTGTCTCTAACTAACCAATAATATAATATATTATTATTGACTTTATATTAACTTCTCTTATAGTATTGTATTCAGTCCTTTTTAACGTCCCACCGCTGGGCACGTGCCTTCCTTCAACACCAAGGCGATCAGGCCATAGTCCACCACGCTGGCCAAGTGCGCGTTGGCGGACTTCACATGTCTTTCGAAAACTTGGTAGGTTGGGTAGGATGTTTTCTTTCACCGTAAGACAGGTGGTTATGTTGGAAATGATTCACACATAAAAATATCAGAGGAGCAAGACCCGCGATTTATACCCGCGTCATTCGGTTCCCCAAGCCAGTGCGTAACCACTGCGTTACCACTGCCTCTCATAGTAGCTACATATACCTAATGTTAGTAAAAACAAAAAAAAGAATAACACATCGTCTGATCGCCTCTACCGGTGACAGGAGAGCTAGCTCTTTTTTCACCTGAAGAATCGGCATTGCCATTTGGCGTAAGAATGTGGCCTAGCATTCTCACCACAATTTCACGCGGATATGATTTGTAAAAAAATAATTCAGTGTACATTTGTTTCGTATACACTTTTTACCGCGGGAAAATGTCTCATTTCTGAGAAAAAATACAAAAACTGCTATGTAAGAGTGTACTAATATGTAAAACCTAAGAATTTGTTTTTTTGGTCATCTGAACGTGGGCGGAGCCACGGGCAACGCTTGTATTTATATATAATTAGATTAGATATATTTGTAATCTTATTAAATTATAAATAGTATTGTAAATAAACCAACCCTCTTTCCCGTAACGTTTGCTGTAAAGCATTCAAAACGTTCGCAACCAAAATATAAAATAAAACCGCGACCAAATCCTAGATAGTTCTGTTCTCTGTTTTGTAGCTTATAGGCGTGCCATTTGGGCACAATTTACTTCACTAATGTTGAGTAGAATAGAGGATACATGGTAGAGATTGGGATCGACCGGTTTACAAAAGAGATATTCACACTAAGGACCGATAAGAAAAGGTTTTACTTAAAATATCAAATATTTGCGTAAATCTAAAAAAAAAGTATTAAATAAACTATTTTTTTCAACAGGGTCGCCTACGAAGTCCAGCAAAGTGAGGTGATGACTTGTATAGCTTTGATCTCCCACGTGATGTGTTACGCGAATTCTGCTGTCAACCCCTTAATCTACAACTTTATGAGTGGTAAGCTTATATTATGAATTAAACGGTGCTTGTCATCAATAAGTAATCGTTGAAAAACAGAAATATTAAACATTGTATTGAAATGACATATTTATTCATTATGTCATAATGCTCATAATATATCACTTTCAAATTAATTCAATTATTTGTTATTATGAGTATATTTTCTCAGGTTTGACAACGTCGAAACATAATTTCCTGTGTGTTTAAAATTTATTTCAAAATATATCATAAAATTACATGAAAAGTTTAAATAATACTAATAAAAAAATGGAACATGCATATTAAACGACGTAAATTTAGAACTCTCCAATTTGCAGGGAGATGATGATTTTTCCAGATTTCTACTCTCCTACGATTGTAGAATGACATTTGGTCAAGGTTTTCAGTTTTTAAAAATAAAATATTTAATCTAAAATACTTACTTTTAATGCAATAATAGGTATAGGTTCTTAAAAGTAAGGAAAAACATCCATCTAGAAAAATTTTTTTTTTTAAATAATGCAGTTTTACTATTTATTAAGATACTTATTATTTACGTTTTTACTTATTTAATGATTACTAGATTTTTTAACTTATTCCTTGATAGTGTTTTCTTACTTTAGTTAACAACTATAAAAGTATCATGCATCATGTTATCATGTTGTGACTCAAAATGGTTGAGCTTTAAAAATATTTAATTCACATTTGAAAATATTTTTTTGAAATTTGTGATATTATTAAAAATGTTGTAATTAACCTATTTATTAAAAAAAGTATGAAAAGAAAAAAGACAAGAAAAAATGTAACTCAAGCACACTTCTATTTTTGAAGTCAGTAAAAAATTTACATACGCATCACTATATTGATTCATAATATAGCACTTTATTGTAAATATCAAATAATAAATATCGCCTTAATATATGCCTTTTATATTAAATTTTGAGCGAGTAATAACATATTAGCCTAAAAATCATTTCCAAGTAATTTTCGAACTCATTTCCTTCCATCCTCATTACTACTTATTTCTTCTTTTCGATTACATTTGAATCAATGACTTAGTGGTATTTGGAATTGGTGTTTTAATAGAAAATTTTATTAGCTATGTCTCTCTTACTGTATCTACATATCAATATTATATTTAATAATACTCGTACATTGCAGTTTTTGCATTTTTTCTCAGATGAGACATTTTCCCGCGGTAAAAAGTATCCTATATGTTGACCCGGATAACCAACTATAATCATACCACTTCAAAATCTGTCCAATGTTTTCTCGTGACAAGTTACCAGACAGACAGACAAAAATTCTAAAAACTATAGATTCAGCCTCTGTAGCGATAATAATGACTATTCGAATAAGATTGTCCAAAAAAAATATTTAATGTTCGGATTCGACTCAATTATAATTTTATTATATGTATAGATATAGACTAATGACCATTTGAAAACAATTTCCACTTCAAGTTGGCTGATAAGGGACGAATAAATCACAGCCGTCACGCTCCGATTAGTCGCGTTTATCTCGTGATTGCTTTCATTTGATTGAGTATTAGGGAAAATAGACCAAATTATTTGATTTTGAGGTTATTACAAAATATGAATTATTACGAAAGTTGCGCCCACGCATATGTGAATACTACTTTACGTCTTTTGTCTCTTTTTAGGGTTCTGTACCCGCAGGGTACCAACGGAAACCTATTAGATATAGAGAGTTAAAATTTTCACACAGTGCGTATTTCTATTGCCGCTATAACAACAAATAATAAAAAACCAAAATGGCTAATTTCAAAAAGGCGGCCATGAAAATAAAAAATAAGTTCTTTAGTTCTTTATTTCAAAAGGTAGTAAGTACACCCAGATATTTGCTTAACACTTACTAAATCTAATTTGGTACATACAAATATTTAAAACACAGCATCTGCAGCCGAACTAGAAGACCTGCACATCAGCTGTCAGCGCCATATTAAATAATCGATTATGGTACAGAATCCTTTACCTGTGCGAGTCCTACTCGCACTTGACCGATTTTTTAAGCATTGTAAGCTGACATAGTTCTTAAAAACTTTTGACAGAATACTTTCTTAGATTTACGCGAATGTTTGACATTTTTAAATAAAACTATCTTTTCGGATTATTTCGCGGATTTATTTTGATTTTTGGTTCCCGACGTTTCGAATGCTTTACAGCATCCATGGTCACGGGAGAGACTGAGGTGTTACATGTCTTAAAGATATAGTTGTTACAGACAGCCTACCCACAATTAACAAAATGAAAATTGCACCAATTACATTACAATATTTAACTTTAAACATTTTTTATAATTTTAATTATAATTGAATATGGAAAATTATTTATTTAATTTTTGCTATTATTTTTATAATTATTACAATTTTAAAAATATTAATTAGTAATCTATATTTAGTGTTGCCATTATTATATTTATAACCATAAATAAAAAATATAAAAATATAGTATTCATTATTAAAGCCATATAATTGTTCTATGTGTAATTTAAAAAGTTAAAATTAATTACGGATAATCATTTTAATTTAGTTTGCTATTATTTAAAAACAACTTACTAAGCAACACTATTAATTTGTAAAAGTATATATTAATAGTGTTGCTTAGTAAGTTGTTTTTAAATAATAGCAAACTAAATTAAAATGATTATCCGTAATTAATTTTAACTTTTTAAATTACACATAGAACAATTATATGGCTTTAATAATGAATACTATATTTTTATATTTTTTATTTATGGTTATAAATATAATAATGGCAACACTAAATATAGATTACTAATTAATATTTTTAAAATTGTAATAATTATAAAAATAATAGCAAAAATTAAATAAATAATTTTCCATATTCAATTATAATTAAAATTATAAAAAATGTTTAAAGTTAAATATTGTAATGTAATTGGTGCAATTTTCATTTTGTTAATTGTGGGTAGGCTGTCGGTAACAACTATATCTTTAAGACATGTAACACCTCAGTCTCTCCCGTGACCATGGATGCTGTAAAGCATTCGAAACGTCGGGAACCAAAAATCAAAATAAATCCGCGAAATAATCCGAAAAGATAGTTTTATTTAAAAACTTTTGACAGCATAAATATCAAGATAAATAATATTAAAATAAAATTATTAAGCTCATAATTTTTATCTATATGAGGGAACGAAAATTCAAAATCAAATCTGCTTGGCTATTTTGTTGTCAGTAACAAGTAGTTGCGGCAATGTACAAAACATATCAAGAAAGTATCAAGATAAGCTCGAAATTCATCTTGAGCTGAAAAATATCATGTAAATTAAATTTGATCAGAGCTCTGGAAATGTTATTAACAGGATAAAGCAGTTAGAGTTAACAGTACGAGCGAATCTAGTTAAGTAATTATTAAACCAATTATTGACTGCGGCTGTACATGTATTTTTTCCTTCATATTTAAGTTGTGCATTCTTGCTACTTACAATGATGCTGCTTCATTAAAGAAATGTATATTTATTTATTTTAGAACTAGCAACTCGCTCCGTTCGGTTTCGTCCCTAGTTACGTTTTAACGTTTAGTATAGATTTCTCAGATATTTTATCGCTGTAAAAAGTATTGTATATGTTCACCCAGATAACCATCTATCCTTATACCAAATTTCATCAAAATCCCTCCAGTGGTTTTTCCGTCGCCTTTTTCAGAAAAGGCCTCATTTCACATTTAAATAAAATATAAAGACACAATTTAAACAATTTCGTTGTAGTTTTGAATGAAATGATTGAGAAAACTTGGAGTTTTGAATAGTTATCTATGCAGCCCGTTTTAACGTCCCACTGCTGGGGGTGGGCCTCCTTTTAGTACGAGGGGGATCAGGCCATAGTCCACCACGCTGGCCAAGTGCGGGTTGGCGGAATTCACATGTCTTTCGAAAACTTGCTAGATTCTCTCAGACATGCAGGTTTCCTCACGATGTTTTCCTTCATCGTTAAGACAAGTGGTAATAGTGTTGGAAATGATTCGCACATGAAAATATCAAAGGTGCGAGACCCGGGATTTGAACCCGCTTCCCTCGGCATCCCAAGCGAGCGCGTTACCACTGGACTACCACAGCCTTCTAATAGTTATATTTGTAGTATCCTTTAATATGTAGGTACTAGGTAGATATAAATTTATCGCTTTGAAACCAAGTTAGTCATTCACAAACCCAGTGACGTTATTCGCAATACAAACTATTGTTTTGATAGTACATAATATATGTATATTGTACGGCCATTTGTAACGTATTTCATTGCATCATGTATTTCAAAGTTATAACTCGAACACTGTACCGTAAAATAGTATTTTGAATCAGAAACTCTGTTGAGTGGCTATAGTTGTATCTCATTTTACAGCTAATATAGGCGAAAAATTATTTATTTATATACATTTTACTCTACATGTCAGTAATAACAAGTATAGAAAAATAAAAAATAAAGAACGTGCACAAAAGGCGGCCTTATCGCTAATTTGCGATTTCTTCCAGACAATCTTTGGGTTATGAAATATGGAAGAATATACATACACCAGATTGGAATCTATATAGCAAAGAATACATAAATATTTCTATTATTTATGTTATTTTTTTAATTTTCTACAAAAACTCTAGCTATAAAATTATCTACCTTTTGAATATAGCACGTATAAAACAGAAAGTTTATAACAGACATATAAAGCACATAGGTACATTTTATATATTAAAACACCAAGCTAAATATTTTAAGTGTGTTATTCTAAAAGCATTCTCATTGTAATAATTTAAAAAGTATGAAAGGTATTTTAGTAGTCCTTTATAAGTGTTACATCTCATTTATTTCTAATTTTAACACATCTCTTTTGTTTGGAAAAATACGTCACAAAAATATTTTGCTTGCAGGATTCCCAGGGTTTTCAGGTCAGTGATATGCCCCGATGGTTTAACTTAAGAAATTAGCTTTTCAATTATTTTCGTTGTGCCAAATCGATCAAGGCTCAAGTCATGAATTCGATACCCGCTTAGGGTAATATTCAAGAAAATGTCGTAAAAATTAAAGAAGCGATAAATATATTGAAAACTGCATGCATTTATTTTTGTAATGTATCACACTTTTCACCTGCATGATTTTTGTTGCAATCACCTTTTTGAAAACACCTTCATATTTGCAAAACAAGATTAATATGTTGTAATGTATTCTTAAATAACCTTGAAATATATATATATATATATATATATATATATATATATATATATATATTTATGTGTGTGTGTACCTTTTCTAAAGTATAAACAAACACAAATGATTCCTTACCACATTAAATTTAAACTCCGTTGAGCTAAGCTTATTTTGTTACAGGGAAGTTCCGACGAGAATTTCACAGATCGTACTTCAAATGCCTTTGCTGCTGTCATCCACCGGCTCCGGAACAGAACGGTACATCCTTCGCACCAATCGGGAGTTCCCGAGCTGGCACCACTCGCACTGTTGTAAGGCGGAACGACTCTTGCGTTAGCTACAGACTAACCCATCTCTCCCCTTCAAATCATAACAGCATAAATCGAGAAGCCAGAAATACCAATACTTCTTTCATAGAACATATGAATGGCAATAGACGACTTAAGGTCCGAGATGATTCTATCAGTGAATCTGCCCGGTTCACTCTTACCACCGACATCCGAGATTGACCCTTAGGTAGGGACCTGTTGGTTTACACGGACAGACACCGCGACGGTATTGGATATATAGCGAGGAGTACTAACAGTATAGATTGCAAGCCCTACTACGATTGCTTCAAGAGCCATGGACCAAGTACAGGAAAGGTATGTACTGATAAAATAGAAATGGAGCGTCATAGCGACACGCACGCTGATTATAGGGAGTGCGATAAGGAACTAAGAGAACAGTTTACGTTGGATGAAACAAAAAACGGGTTTAAGTTTAAATTTAACCGTAGTTTAAATAGCTGCCAGATTAAAAATAAAAGAAAAGTGAATACTGTGTTTTAGTGCGATAAAACGTATGAGTTTGACTTTTACAATAATTATTATGAAATATAATAAAATATGTTATCTTGATATAGTAATATCATGTCGTTAAAGAATTTTTCATTTAGTATATCTATTTATTAAATAGTGATAAAATACAGCTATCAGTAAAAACCAAAAATATTTTACTTCTATGTTATATGTGTACTTACACAATACATACTTACAAATGCATATTTTGATTCAAAATCTCTTTTTATAAGCCTTTTGTAGAATAATATATGTGAAAAGTATCGACTTACGGTTTAATTACATGTAAATAGTTATTAGCCAACGTTAGCCATGTAACTATTTTAATAGTTATTTTGCTATTCAGTGCGGCAAAGCCAACAATTCAAAGATCATAAAAATCGGTCCAGCCAACTTTGTTATATATATATATATATATATATATATATATATATATATATATATATATATATATATAATATATATATGTTTGTCTGATTGTTATGTTTCTTAAATAAACTGCAAAAAGCTGGTATATGTATTAGAAATTAGCTTTTACGTCTTGAAAAAACACTTTCTCGGGCATAGCGAATGAAAGTTGAAGAATTTGTCTAGTATATGGGCACTTTTCTAAGAATTTCAATTTAATATATAACATTAAATGCTTAGCTTTGTCACCTCATTAGTTAAACGCTACCCAGATGACATCACATTACAAGGTATATTGATCGACAAAGTTTCATCTCAACCCTAAAGGTTTTATACACTGCTTTTAGACGTCGTATTTTACCCTTTTTTAACGTCCCATTGCCGGGCACAGACCTACCTTCAATAAGAGGGAGATCAGGCCATGATCATCACTATCAGGCATAGTTCACCACTCTGGCCAAGTGTGGGTTGACAAACTTCACAAGTCTTTCGAAAACTCGCTAGATTCTCTCAGATATGCAGGTTTCCTCACGATGTTTTCTTCCCGTAAGACAAAGTGATAATCATATTCTAAATGATTCGCACATGAAAATATCGGAGGTGCGAGACTCAGGATTTGTACCCGCTTCACTCGGTTTCACAAGCAAGCTCATTACCACCGAGGCTACCACTATCGTGCTTAACATACAGTATAATTATCTTATAATTCTATTATAACTTCGCATACCACGAGATAATTTTTCTTATTTTAATTTTTCAACTGATAATTCCGCTTTTAATTTACTAATTAAATCACATCACAATCATAAAAATCACACCTGTAACGCGAGACGTGTAAATTGGATCTTCCCTTTTTAAAGTTTATACCTACGTGTATCCTCGTTAAAAATGTAAAATTTAAAGATCTTGCTTACCTTATTTTTAATCCTCAAAAATATCATTTTTAAAGGGCATTAGGAGTATTTACACCACGGCTGCAATATCTTTATAGTTTATACTTATTTTCGGATCAGCTCTCCGACTTTATTTGAACTGCTCAAGTTTTATGTCAATTTTCATTTAACATTTTTTTGCGATTCTTTTAAACTCAATAATAATGATATTAGATTTATTAAATAAATACGAATACTTGGTATCAAAATAAAAGCTTATTACTTCCCCTATTCTATTAGAATTATCTGTTACTCCCTTGCTGCGTTAAAGAAGAACAAACCGACTGACACATTTTTGCCCATACATATTACTAGCCTTGTGCCAGATGTGACTTCCTTTGAGCACAGCACATTTTTACATTAATATAATTATAACAATTATATAATTCTATATACAAAACAAATGTATACTTAATTGTTACTGTACAAGTCATATCCGCGTGGAATAGGGGCAAGAATGCTAGCCGCATTCCCCCGCTAAAATGTTATATTTTTTAAGCAAATGGTATGTTGAATGAAAAATTTTCGTGATTAATTTTTAGTAACGTCTTTATCTCATACCAGTCAAACATATAAAATAAAGTATCGGAGTTTCTGAACCAACATAAATCCTTTGTAGTGCTCATTTCATTATTTATGAAACTCCAGTACAAAATTTAATATTTCTATACCCAGCGGCTGCATTTTCTTTGAATATGTTAAAGAATTTATGTTTTTTTTTTAAGATTAAACCATTAAAATACATACTTCCTAAATATTACAGTACATGACTTTTAACCTGGATAGGTTCACAGTATCATTGTGCTAAGTACTGAGGGTCTTGTGTGTAAGTTTGTAAACTCCCTCACTCCCATAACATGTCACATAATTAACGACTGACCCAAATTCTTTAAGCAAAGGTTAATCTAGGCCTGTTTATGACTTTACGTCACGGAGCACTTTTAGGGCAATTCCGAAGGTATATTACAATATTTTTGAAACAAATAAATAGCATGTTAATTGTTTCATGGAAAATTTTTGTGGTTAATTTTTAGTAAAACTTTTATCTCCCACCAGTCATAAATGTAGAATAAAGTATCGGAATTTCTGAACCAACATAAATAATTATATGAAAGTAAGTCTGTTCAGAACATCTATGGATAAAAGCATAACAACACTTTAACACCCCACATGTATTAGGCCACCGTGACTGTGTCATAGTACAACGATCTATTTGATTGCCCTATTAGTCATATATTACGAAGTATTGAAAATAAACTGCCCAATCTTAGTGGCTAGCATGAACAGTTGCAGATCCGGATGTACAGGGTTCGAGTCCCGAGTTGGGCTGATCACATGTGACCATGGTCACTATTGAAAACTGCTACATTTCACTGCGATAGCAATACTTGCTTGAAAAAAATAACCAAAAAGTAATGTAATCCTCTGTTGTGATAGTTCTAATGTATCATATACTAATGTAGACTTGACACTAAAATTAAATAGTTCTAATATCACAATTTTCAATTCAATTATAATCATAAAAAATAACCATATCTGTTATAGTTTGGATTGTTGATCTTATAGATATTAAACATAATACTTAAATAGTATATTTCAATCTACTTCACAAAATCTGAAGAAACGAACCAAATTATTTTCATTTTTCTTCCAGTTATTCTTCACAAAGACGGTATATTTTGGCAATCTTTTGCAAAAGCACTTTTAATCGACGAAACTGAAGATTTCGCTACCCTACCGAATATATATAATAACTATAAAACAATAAAAACCTTGTGTATAAAAATATTTTTTCTGAGAAAGTTATTGTTGGAATTCAAAGTCTAAAGTCAAATTTAAAACAGGCCATGGGCATAAGGATGCCATAATTAAGTGTTAGTAAACTAAGAGTCAAACTAAGAGTCACAGGAAATCGCCAGTTAAACAAAATGTAGGATATAGTAGAAATGTTTATTTAGAAAATTTGAAATCGTATAACTTTGTACTGCAAGTGGTATTGCTCTAATTAGTGGTTTTAGTTTAATTTTAAACCACTTTTTACATGCTTAGTAATTTCTCCCCTAAAACTTGTCATAATTTTATTAACATTATAAATAATACTTTCTTAGATTTACGCGAATATTTGACATTTTAAATAAAACTGTCTTTTCGGATTATTTCGCGGATTTATTTTGATTTTCGGTTCCCGACGTTTGAAATGCTTTACAGCATCCATGGTTCGGGAGAGACGAAGGTTATAGACGTCTCAAAGGCGTACAGACAATGCCTACCCACTATTTTACAAAAATGATTTCAAAAATTCAACAAATGGCACCAATGTACCTTACAATATTTGTTGATTTTTATTTCTAAACATTTTAATAAAATCATAATTATTATAATTGCTATATTGTTTTAATTTATTTGTTCTTATATTAAATTGCCATATTTAATTTAAAAGGTATGCTAAATGTTGAGTAATAAGATATCACTACATAAAATTTAGTTAAAATCGATTCAGTATTTTTGCATGAAATGCATACACATACACACAAACAGACAAAAAATGTAAAAAATCTTTGTTACATTTTTTTACATGTAGGAATAATAAGACAAGATCAAAATATGCATTTGCAACAGTACAATATGTGTAAGTTTTTACTATTATTTATAAGCTTTTTTATTATAAGTATTTTTTAAGATAAATTATACTTATATACCTCAAAAGTATTTTCTACAGTGTAAAAATTTTATGTATTTTTATAATAGTAAGTAGTTAAGAAATTCTTTATGTAGTGTCTGCATAAATTATTTAATCGTAAATACATAATAACTATATTGCAGGTGGTTCTGTGAAGTTGTGATGGGATCTCGTCTAAAGATGATAGATTTAATTAACAATGAAACCTATTTAGTTCAATACTTTTTTTAATGTTGGGAAATGTATTTACGCATACCACCTGCATCCAGATGTTTCTGTGAAACAAAACCTCCCTCGTCTTAATGAGGTGTCGCAGGAATCTTATACGCGTTAAACCACGTCTCCCCGACGACAGAACCACACAGCAATGGGGTTGCTCCTGGTGCTACTCTGCTGTCAGAGAAGTACCAGGAGCAACGCGCATGGTACAACGCCCACTGAAGTGGGCCTCCTCCCAATGTGTCTTTTGGTTTCGCGCCCGGCTGGGCTGCCGGACGTGTTATAAATGAGGGCCTAAATAAGGGCACATATATGGCTAGGATAAGTAAGTAAAATTTTCTAAGTAACATATATTTTCATACACTGCATAAAACCACAGAAATTTTAATTATCTACCTCCGACGAGATCCCGAACTACTTCATAATTT